GTTCAGGTTTATCTTTAGTATGTGTACATTTTTATGCGATATGTCATGTAATGATTGTTACTGCTTTTCTTGTATCATTTATGCTTTAATCTTGGGCAATATTCAGGCCTCCAAAAGTGTTCCATGACGAATAATACGGGGAAGTATCTCATGTTTACAGAATGTGTTCGAATGGTTGAAAGATTATTATGAAAATTTATATTAGGTTTTACATAATCACTTTACTTATTATGTATGTATAATTAAATATGCACTCGTAAATTTATATAGCCTTTTGAATGTATTTGATATCAATCAATAAATAGTGTCATTTTCAAAATATTTAATGAAGTGTGACCTTCGAAACCATTGTCGATGGATGAATGAAGAAGTATGATGGGAGGCGCTTAGGGCCCGCGCATTTTCAACTGATTTCGATAGTTTATGTCGTTTGATTTGCAATTTGAAGATGTTGATAACAAACAACTTGTATTTATTGTTATTTCCTAATGTTACATCAGTAAACCAGTGATTTGTTAATTGATACAATTCAAAAACAAAATCAGATTCGTCAACTCGAGTACAATTCCTAGGAATGGGGGTGGAGCCGCACCTGTGGCAACAGCGTAGAAGCATCGTCACGTTGCTGTCGCGATCGGCCCGGAAAAGTGTCGCAAATAAAAAAAACGACACTTTCTAGTGTAGTTAGACAGTTTCTTGGCATGGAAAAAAGCCTTAAGTTACGACACCTTCCATCAATATGGAGATTGATTGATCGATCCTTCCTCTTATCAATATTCAATAACGGACCGGACACTTCCTTTACCACTGGCGTGAAGCCGTTCCCTTCCTAAAACCTAACATAGCGCTTACAAGCTACTTATGCAAGCTACTGGAAAAAGTGGTACCTTCTGCAAATGTGGTATCTAGAATTTCACAACCTTATCTCATCAAATCAGTTTGGTATCGTCGCGGCCGCTGCATAGCTGATCCTCTTGCCTATTTCAAGACTCAAAACACATCGGCATTAACTGTCTTCGCTATAGAAAAGGCATATGATACCACATGGCGGCACCATATCCTTTACCAACTATCCTCCCATGGCATAGGCGAAAACAAGAGTGTTTTCATAAAGTGCTTTCTGATTACACCCGTGTCAGATTTGCCTCTTCTATTCCATTTCCCCCTCAATTTGAAGGTGTCTTACTAGGCAATGTGCTCAGCACCATATTATTCCTTATTGCTGTAAACGGATTAGTTTCAGCTCTACCATCAGGAATCCGGTCATCAGTTCTTCAGGCAAGTTCCTTGTCCTGGCGAGCTCATATCCTTTCTGTTGAAGAAAGAGACCGACTCTTACAGACTCACTCACATATATCCTGGGGTTCAGACCGCAAACAGTCCTCCATCTCCATATTGCCCTAATGTTCTCCACCCGTGATTATGGCTGTCATATATATTCTGCCTCTGCTTCCCTTTCCACATACCTTGATCATTGCGGTCTTCGTTTAATCATAGGCGCTTTTCGATCCTCTCTAATGGAGAGCCTATATACTGAATCAGACTTACCATCCCTATCTCGTCGTGCAATTTCGTTCCAAAGAAGCTATGCTCGCTTTCACAAATTTTCTCTCTCTAATCTAACCGTTCCTTAATCCCTTCATACCTTCTCCACATTTACCTACCCTTTTTCCTGTTCGTATGATCGGTCTACTTTCCCATTCACCCATTCCCGATCTATCTATTCCTTTTTCTGCTCAGTCTTTCCCTCCCTGGCCATTACTGTAAGGTGGCATCTGTCCTCCTCAAGGCGGGTTTCCTCCTCGCCACTCGTTCCCCGTATTTCGGTCGCGCCCTGACTTCGCTCGTTCGCCCGTTTTTTTTTTTTTTCGGGGGGGGGGGGGGTCTAGTCTTTTTATTTGGTTTTTCATTTCGTTCTATTGTTGTTTTTTAGTTTTAGTTGAGTTTCCCCTTTGAATAGCCGTTTCTTTTTTCGATTTTGTACAGTCATTTTATTTGCTTTGTTTTTACTTGAAAGTCTGCTTACTTTATTTTCTATTTAGCTTAATTTATTAAATATTATATTTCATTTATTATCTCTTATCTTTCGAGCATTTTACACTGGTCATCTTGAATTTTAATCTTTACTTTTTCATTTTTAATTTTATTTCATCTTCAGACTATTTTTATATTTTTTCTTCTGGTCATTTAAAAACACTTTTTAAGCTGGAAGATGCTATCTGAACTTCTATAAATACGAAAGAGGTATAGTTGGTGACGTAGTTCATGACGTCACGAACATAATAAATATCTCCATAAACGGCGCAAAGCAATACTCAGTCTAGACTAGAGTCTCTATCTGTGTATCACGATCCCTTGTGTGAAGCTGGAACGTTAGAGGCGGCCACGTCCCCAGAAACAGGATTTAAATTTGGTGTACTGACGTGATCCTTTTTGTTTTAGTGATTGTTTAACATACCTAAACTGAATTTTGTAATCTTCGTCTTAAATGTTTCATTAACCTAAATAATTAATTAAGTGGTTATTGACAACTTTGACTTTACATTCTATCATAGAGGCCAGAGTAACACTTCTTAAATGCGTCTTAAAAACTCATATGTGCTAAATAAGATAGATACATAAAACATTAGCTAAATTCACACTCCTTGCGAGTCTTAATTCGTATCAAGACTCGCAAGGAGTGTTAATTTAGTTAAAGTTCTACGTATCTATCATATTAAACACATATGAGTTTTTAAGGAGCATTTAAGAAGTGTTACTTTGACCTCCATGATAATTATCAATAAAAAAAACTAAAGGAGCTCTAGTTAATATGAATAAGAAAGCCATAGGCTGAAAGTCAAGGAATTAATGCTCCACGCTACCAGTATACGACATCAAGCCACTGTTAAACACAACTAATACATAGAGACTATTAGACACACATCAAAGAATACCTCACAATACCTTCCTCCTGTAATTGCTCTTCTATTTTCCCAGATCACCCCACCCTCACAATTTTTTTTCGCATATATCTACATGACTCCTTCAGTACCAAAGTCTATACAACCGGCTCTAATTGGACCTCGAGTACTGGTTTCGCCGTAATCTTTCCCTCTCACTCATACAGCTTTCCCTTTCCTGCTGAATCGAGCGTCCTTACAACAGGGCTATATGTTATCTCTTTACAACGCTGTATGTGCATCTCAGATCATGTTGGGTATTTTGAGCAACTGTATCAGCTAGACCTTCCAGCAGTTATTCTGGACGCAAGCGATGTCGCAATCCCTGTGCCGGACCCACCGATCAGTGAGGATCCTCCTACCCTGACTGAGGTTAGGGAGACGATCTCTCAGCTGAAGGGTGGGAAAGCTGCAGGCATATGCGATATCCCTGCAGAACTGCTGGGGGTGAACCTATGACATGAGACTTGTATACTGTCCTGGCTGCCATCTGACAATCCAATTCCTTTCCCCCCTGACCTGTTGAGAGGCGTGGTCTCTTTGGAAGGGGAAAGGGGGTCATTGCTCACTATACCAAGCAAGGTTTTTGTCCACATTCTTCTGAAACGGATCCGCAACCACCTACTGAGACACCAAAGACTTTAGCTGTTTGAATTCACTCCTGGCAAGTCCATAATAGACAGTATCCTAATGTTTCGAGTCATTATGGAACGCCGTAGTGAGTTCGGACGTGGACTGCTTGCAGCCTGCAACGACCTCAAGAAGACGTTTGACTCAGTGCAACACTAATCGCTATGGGAGATCTTGAGACAGGAATTCCGGCACGGATAATTGGAAAAATAGCAAGCCTATATACACGTACTGAAAGTGCTGTAACGTGTGGTGGCAGACTGTTGAGCTTCTTTCCTGTTAACTCAGGAGTGAGACTGGATAATAGGCAGAGCTACTATCCAAAGTCACTGTGGAGCAACACTAGGCAATACCAAGGCCACGGATCTCGATTTTGCCGACAATGTTGCAATCTATCTTATCTGTCTCTTGATTCTCTAGTGGCGGCTCTTGATACATTCAGCAATGAGGCGAAGCCCCTGGGCTTAGAGGTCTCCTGGATACAATATTCCTTGCATACATGACTTCATAGTGATACAAGAATTGAGAAATTAGTCAACTGGTTCCTAATACTTCACTTAGGCTTTCTGATTCATGTGTTGGGAACCAATTAGTTTAGACATACTGAAAACAATACTTTCTTATAGGTCACTCTGTAATATTTTTTTCATTTGTTTGGAATCTCAATATGATGTATATGGTATTGGTAAGCATTACAAATTTTAAAAATTTCAAGTAAAGAATCCCCGTAACATTGTATAATTTATGTTGTATACGATTCTTGAGTATAACAAAATCATTTCATGTCCTGTTTTTTGCTTTAGTTGAGCAGCATTAGTAATTGAATATTTTTTTTGTAAATGACAATTTCATTGATGTATATAAACTGTGATTTATCTTAAATACCCTGTTACAATATGGTATGAGATGTATCATGCACTGAGGCACCTATTCTAAATACTGTATTTATTATCTCTGTGTTGGTTTCTATTTGAATAGAATACATTATCAAAATTACTGAGAAATATCCTGATGTGGAAATAATGAATGTATATTCCTTGATTCTTTGGCTTTATCTATAGTTATATCCAGGTAGATTAAGGGATGATAACCAGTTCAAAGTTGGAGCAAGATTCAATGCTAAGTTTGTTGTTCCCCTAGAATATTTTCTACAACTGATTTACAGTATCCATTAAGTTAATTTCATATTTCACTTGTCGTCTCCAGCAGTTTATCTCATAAAGTGGAGAATCAAATCAATGTTGCAAATGTATTCAATACTGATGTCTATTAATCTATCAAGAGTATATAAACACTAAATCACTTTTATACTGATACAGTTGGCAAAATATTAGTGTACTCTGTAACGAGATACAAAGAGTGGTCACTCAATCAATGAGATTAATGAAGATCCAATTACATTCATTAAGGGGAAAGGAAGAAAAGATGTGGACTCTTGAAAACCTGTATTTTTAAAGTTAACAAACGCAACAAGTAATGTTCTTTCCTATTAACAATAGAAGCCATTTGTTTATATCCACGAAAAATCTAAAGTACTACGCGCGTTCGAGTGCATGGTTGGTGACAGAGCATCATCACAACGGAAGCCAGACTCATATCCTTTGCTTCTCAGGAGTCATGTTGGGCCTCGCAGCTCCACACTGCACAAACCATCCATGGACCCACACACACACACATCAGATAATGGACAAAGAGAAGAAGTACAAGGCCTTTTTCTTATCAAACTTCCAGTGATCTTAGACTTCCTCAGTCCTAGAATTAGTTGACAAACATAAGGTTAAGGAGTGTCGTGGCTGACATGTCAAGAGACGAGCATCACAAAATGACTGAAGATTTACTGAAGATTTACAGAAGGTTTATCTTGGTTATCTCTACCATTTTACATTAACATTTATTGGATTTACAACATTTCAGTATTTAGAAAATCCTTCACTTTCTCTACGGAAAAGAATGAAATAACTGTTCGCTATTGACTACAATTTGTTATGTGTAATGGTTTGGTGAACAGCCCAGAGAACTGACTTAAAACTAATGCATATTTGCCACACCTAAGAACAGGATGGTAGAGGGCAGACCACGCAAACAGACATCGAGTCAACCTGGAGTGGTGAAATGTGATAGTTAGGGGTGGGGGCAGGGTGGGGGCGGGGGATTCCGGGAATGGTGATGGAGAATGGAGAGGGGAGGAAAGACAGGGGGGGGGGAGATTTGGGGATTTCTTTCTTTTTTTTCTGGGGAGGGCGCGGGGAGGTAAGAGCAGGTGGTGGGGTCGGGGATGTTGACTGGCAAGTTTAAATGCCATATTTCCATGGGTAAAGTCAAGCTCCCCTACGGGTTTCCACATTTTTTAACAAGAGCACTGAAGCTAGATCCAAGGAAATATCCTAGGTCAGTACTTAGTGCTTGCAGGGGCATGAAAAAGTCCTAGGGCTTACTCCCAGGGTGGCCGTACACAATTGCAGGCCTCTGGAGTGCTCCTCACATGGGCACAACAAATAAAATTGGTTCCATTGGCTAGCCAACATTATAACAGGTGATAAGGTCGTGAACAACCGTGCACCAGTTCATTTGTAATATTGTTAATTACATAACATGACAATTACCTTCAGTGATTGAATTATTGACAAGCATCATCACTATTATATATACTTCAAAACAACTATTGCTCCATAAAAACGACCCCCATGATGTTAGGATTATTAGTATTAAATGCAAAGATGTCTGATTAAACCTAGACATCAGTAGTGGTTGTGTTGTGAAGCCGGGCTCATAACAAGGCTGGCTCCACCACACAACTTGTAGCAATGCAACGATCATACCACTTAAGCTAAGAGGTACCACCAGTCATACAACCTAGGTCTCATCTTCCATACACAGCAAATGGACAAAACAATACTGCCAAACATAAACAAAACAGAGATGTATAGACTCTAGTATCAGGAACAGCCAACATGGTTTTAGAAAACAAGAACCAAGAACATTCATGAATATACAAGTTTCCACAACTTCTTTAGAGAGTTTTAAAACGTCCTTTGACTACAGGTATAATGGTAATTTGTCCTTAGTATTGTTCAACAGATCTAACCCTCTGGCAAAAACCCTTTACCATATCTATAATTGGTAGACTATGCAATAACAACCCTTACTATACACAAGACTATTAACAGTAGGACATGATGAAACAACGGGCGCGGCGGCACACTGTTAAAGTGAGTCCTTGGCTTACACCAGTGAGTGTGGGTGTGCACCAGAGGTGGGCACAGGCGGAGGGACAGTTGGGCATGCCCCTTAAGGGGTGTGTTCAGGCTGGGTAGATGCAGGACAGCAGGCCCCCAGGAAGACAACTCACGGGAGCCCAGGCAGCCCACCGCCACCAATAACAGGTGTGCACAGCACCCACAGTTTTTTTTTTTTTCTCTCTCTCTCTCTCTCCCAAACATGAACTGTCACCGCCTTAGCCCGCCCGAGCCACCCTGATTATCGCAGTCAGTCATTGTCAGTCGCGACGGAGCCCAGCACCTAGGCACCACACCACAGGTGGCACCCGCTAGCTACTACGGTAGTGGCTAATGGCTGTTGCTGCTGCTGCTGCTGCTGCTGATCACACTACTGTTGCTGCCAGTGCTGCTACTGCTGCTGGAGGTGCAGTTGGCCCTGAGAAAGCGGCATGGGGGCCTACACTAGGGCCTACACAGCAGTCTCGGTGTGACTGTGTGAGGATAAACGCTCAACGTCGATCTCTGGCACTGTTAATTCTTCTGGATCCGGACACATGTCGGCATACTCCAGTGAAGACCCCTGGGACAACCGTTTGCTCAGGGACGTCTGCTTCTTCAGCACTGCCGCCAGGTTTGGGTTGGAAGGCCGTGCATCAAGCCCCTGCCGAAACGCATTAACTACTCGAATCTGAAACAGAGGCCACAAAGGTAATTTTAAAAGGTGTATGGCGTCAATTAACATATGCCTTGGACACAACTAAACCACGTACAGAACACCAAACAAAGAGAAAAAACTAACTACATCAGTCCAAGGCACTTCAACACTTAAAGGAATGAATCATGGGATTAAAAAAAACATAAATTTTGACTTTTCACTGAAACATGAGACATAAATTGCAAAAAAATGTTCTCTGATATGACGAAGTCTTTAAACTTGACTGTGAGGGTTACTGTGAGAGCTGCTGACAAGTGAGAGGGTGAGGAGTGTGCCTTGCTGCCAACCACGGAGCGTTACAGCGTCAGCAGGAGCGGCGGGGGCAAGGACGCTCACCCGCCGCTCGCACACACAAGCAAAAAGTCATGCTCATTGCAAAGATCCCATGCCAAACTTGAACCGTGTACTGCATCTTCATTAGGTGGCTTTTTCAGCCTGTTAGGTGCCAATACAACGAAGAAGTTATGATGGTTAGTATGTAAGAAAATACAGAATATAAACATTCAAAAGTCGATTAAATATGAAAGGTAAAAATTGTTAACAGTAAATAGAACGTGCACTTATACAGAGTACTTGAGAGAGTGTTGCTGGCTGCCATAGGATCTACACGACAGGCGGAGCTCTGTAGCTCCTACGCCGATGGACACACACCAGACATCAAGACAAAGTTGGCAGCCAGAGAACGTGGGCACTGCATGTTGGCTGGAGGCTCTCCATAGTGCGCGGCTCATGCGGCATGCGCGCACCCGGATAACAACCCCCTACCGCCCTCAGCTGTCCTCTCCTACCACTGCTGCTGCTGCTGCTGCTAGTGCTTTTGGCACATAATTAACAGCAGCAGCAGTAGACTTTGTAAGTACATATGCAGTTATTAGAAAAACAATATTTCAAGAACTGTCATTTAGCGGCGGCGGCAGGAAGCCAGTCCGGGGCATGTGCCATTTGTGGTGCGTGCACCATATGTTAACTCACACAAACACTCAGACTGGGTAGGTGTGGGCAGTTGCAACATACCCACACCCACTCAGGGTCATTCACAACACAGGGTTTTTGGGATTAGATGGACAGGTCAACAACATCAATTTTATATGGTTACACACACTAACGAGGACATGTACACAAAACTCATGCTAACATGCTTACCATTCACACCAAGATCTACGATCTAAGAAACAAGAATGACACATAGAAACACTGGCTGCCATTTATTACTCCTGACGACAAATACCAAAAAAGAGGTAAAAACTGTAGACTTGACACATAAAAACCTGACTTTCTCGCCACAAGATAAAACACTTAACAAAACAGGCAAGTCTAAACTAACTGTGCCATCTAAACAACCTAGGTCTATGTCACTAGTCGCTCTAGAGTCATGCGGGAAACAGGAATAAGGAAGTGATACATGGCTGGATAGAAGCAAAACAGATTTAAATTTGTAAAATATCAATGAAAATTGAGGTCTCTTACACAATATGATTTTAACTTGTTCTACTGATATGAGTAGGGACATGCAACTTTCTTGGTATATTATTTTCATTTAAAGGGAATATGTTTAATGACTGGAATAAGATTAGTAAGGAGTTACCTTCGGCTTATAGCTGGGGAATGGGACTGTGTACTTTGTTCTGTGTAAGAGACAGTTTGGAGGCATGATAGGATGGTTCATTTAAAGTGATTTTACCTTAAGTCATTTCTATTTGACATTAAAGTCAACCAGCCTACAGCTTCCATGAAAGAAAAGAAGCAAACAGCACAGATCAAGGGCAGAGACGTGAGGGGAAGTGAGCGAGCGATCACATTAGTCCAAAAAATGAGTCTAAGAAGAGACAAGAGAGAGGGGTGTAGCTTACAGCCTGGTCTGTGGAGGTCTTGCTATACGGTACGGGTATCAGCCGCTCCTGCAACGTGCCTCCAATGACCTGAACCATGAGAATAATAATAACAGTGGTGAGGGCGAGTGGCTACAGTGGTAAGTTAGAGCTGGCCAGGGATGTATTATACAGCAAGGTGCATAGAAGACAAGGACACGCCTCGCTCTCCCACGCCAATGGCGCCCACAGCCTGGTAAGTGGTGGCTGCGGTCACCCACTCGCCCACAGTACACGCCCTTGTGTTCTACACACCTTGTTTCAGGCGGCACGCGGCGTACGGGCCAGGTGGTGTATGTACACTGTGTGGTGTGCAGGGGATAGTGGAGCAGCAGTAGTGGAGTAGAAACTACAGACAACACACGGGGTGTCCACACCTACCCGGGACTCGCCTAGACATTACAGGGGCACGCGGGGATTAATACGCTTACACTCAGGACACCAACTCACGATCTGTGTGGCTCCGGGACCGTTGAAGAAGAAACACATCTTCATGCACAGAGAGCACAACTTGACTAAAAATAATAATGATGGAAACCCAATGGACAACTACCGCTGCAAGAGTCACTACGGTGGGTACACTAGCGAGAAACTGATTATGCAGGTGAATACTGTAAATAGGCCTGCTCTAATAGCCACTAAATGTTGAGGACCTTAGATTTGGGCTAATGCTGCGGGTGAGGTGTCTAGCACAGTGGCTTACTCACTGAGAATAGCTCAGGTACAAGGGGCTGAGAGAAACAGATGCTCTGGTTCATACCTCACCCCCATGTGTTTCTCCTTCCTGATCCTCCTACCAGGGAAAATAACAGAATGATACGCTCAACACCATGTTCATCCAAAGATTACGATCAGCTTAAGACAAAGCCTACATTAAGGGCTCCATGGTGGCTGGAAAGTAAAAAGTGAACCCAGTGGCGACAGCTTCAAGATGAGCGCCTGACACAAGACAGCTCCCTGGGTGAGGAGGAACCAGTCCAAAATTATTGGCTTCTTTATCTGCCATGGCACCAGGAACAGGCATGATGCCGAACCAGGGATAAAACCCTGGATCCTACCTCAGTGAGCAGATGTTCAACACCTAAGGGGAATTCTGGACCCCTACTGCACCTCCAGTCCCCTAGCAATATGACGGTTGGGGGTCCAGTGTGCAGCCATATCTGTGTCAGCAACTACCCCAGCCCAAAAGAACAAACACAAGTAAAAGATGATAATTCTAAGAAAGTAGTAATGAAGGAATAAGCTCTGGTAAAGAAGACATAATGTATGGGACAGGCAGGGAAGAGGGACACAATCACACAGATAGGGTAAAATCAAGGCTATGGTCTCAGTCACCACCAGGGCAAGCTTCCTTTATGGTCTCCAAGATTTGCTTCAGTTAAATTTAAGAGAGTTTTCTCACTATTTAACTATTATTTAAAAACTTTCTTTTTTTCTGTTCTCCAAAGCTGGGGAAACATTTCAGCATTTGGCACTCTCCATAACCACATGGCAAACTGCACATAATAAAATAAATACACAACACAAAACACAACATGCAGTGCAAAACCACGTCTCCTCTAGCTGCGCATTAGAAATTAGTACACAAGATGTGTGTTAGTTACCCTGGCATACGCTAGACTAGTAACAGTTGAGGCGGGAGTTGTTAGTGAGGTGCACGTGAGATATTGTCTCAGTCTGTTGTAGCAAAGGTCCCGCCGGGGAGCCAGGCTGGCCTGCAGACCGCCAACCACCACAACCCTCAGATGCTGTGGCAATCAGTGGGAAGTGGCAAGGGCAGGGCAAGACCACAACACTCAGCCTCACAGGCCTCAAGGCAAAAGAAGTGACAGGCAACAGAGTGCCCGGCCCCCAGCACACCCTACGCTCGGCCCACCATGGGAACACCCTCAGCCCACATGACTGACACTCACCCACCCACACGGACAGGCCAGGTCAGCAGCGGGAGGGGAGGGGGAGCAGGGTAACCACTTGAGCCAAGGTCAAGTAACTATAACTAAAGAAAACAGGGAATTTTAATGGACTATGAGAAAATAAGTAAGAAAGAAAGAAAGAAAATTAGAAAAAAATATACCAGAACAATATAATTAAGAAAGGGACAGGAAGCTAGAGTGTTTTAGCTAATAGGAAATTGTGTTTAAATACTAAAAATGGTTAGAACACAGAACAAATGCATAGAAACAATTGTGCAGGTGCATAGACTAAGGCAGGGGCACATTTGCAGGTGGGGTGGGAGGGCTAGGTGGGGGTCACATGATTAAGCCTGAGATGGGAGTAGGATGAGCAGATTGGGGCTGGAAGGGACTAACTTTTGCCAAGTCAAATGGCCAGAAAGTCTCTTGGGGAAGGACATAGGATGAGCGGGTCGATTCAGACTCGGAGGAGGCTTATCACCCAAGGATAGAGTTGTGGGAATTTTACAAAACGATCATGTGGAAAAAACCACAATCAGTCCTGGGGAGGGGGTCAGATACTAGTTTCATGAACAAGGGTGGGTATGTCTGGAGGGGCAGGTGGGGAGGCGGGCTGCAGTGTGCTGGAGTGCGCTGCCATGTTAGAGTGAAGGGTCTGGGCCACCAAAGTATTAAAATGGTGCGGGGAAAGGGGCTGTAGGAGCGGAGGGATAGGGGAAGTGACAGCAAAGTGGTGGTGGTGGTGGTGGTGGCAGCACTTAGTACTTTGTGTGTTGGCGTGGGTGTGGGGTCGGTGGTGCCCCAGCTGCTGGGTTGCTGCTGCAGCAGGCCCGCCTGGGGGAGGGCTGCCGGGGGGTACCAGGGGGGCGGTCTCAGCCGTGGTGGGTGATGACTCCTCGACGGGCGTTACGAGGCGCACAGTTGCGTTGCACGACCCGCACCGCTTGTCACTATTGGGACTTGGGCTTTTCGTAGAGTCCTCATCTATGTAACTGATGTCTGACATGGGCCGGTTGCCCTGCTGACTGCGCGAGATGCGCAAACTATGCAAACTATGGCACGACCGCCGTTCTTCCAAGTCTTCCAGGGTTGACTTGAATGCTCGTATTACTCTCAACTGCAAACGGGACGGGACATCCAATCAAACCCCCACACCATTGTAAAACATCCACATCTCATCATGTACATGTTAGTAGCAACACGTAAAAAATTAAAAATAAAACTCACCAGACAAGTCACTGGTAATACAGTGCTATTAACAAACAAACATAAAAAAACTAGGAGTGACTAGTCATGTCGACATGATAATAATAATAATAAGTAGTTATAATGACAGGAGACTGAGGCCGAAGGAGGTGAGGGCTGTTGGCTGTTGGAGACTGGGTGAGGATGGTGTGACGCAGCCCAGTGTGACGGACGCCTAGTGGCACGGGGCGACCTAGAAACATGCAAGCTGCGTGCACAGCAGTGGCAGCCAGAACACAACAGACTAGGCACCGGGCCACAGTAGTGTTGAGGCCGCTAGCCCGTCACCACCAAGAGAAATGATCTATGCAGCACAGAGAACAAACATTCTAGCCTCTTGCTCTAGCCACAGTCTACACACTCCATCTCTTAGCACCACGTACATAATTAGCTAGGATTTACTTCTGGGAATTGAAGGGTATCTAAAATTTAGAACAAATAGGCAAGGGTGGGAGGGGGTAACACATAGCATTACGACATCTTTAAGACAACAACAGCTGTACGGCTATGTGGCTACTCTTACCAACCTGTTACAAAACCCAGGGGTGTCGGTCACAGGAGGAGCAAAACAAACTTACTGTTAAATCAAAAGTAAAAATTAGTAGAGGGCTTGGGGATGGTATATTATGGGACAAGATTTCACAAGTGAGATGCTATAAGTGCAGTAGAAAATTAGCAGGGGTCCTAAATACTAATATAAAATTGACTAAATTTTATATTGAACAAATTCTAAAAACAAATATGCGCATAAGACAGATACTGTTGTACAATATACAAAGTACTGGGTCAGCCTTATAAGACATTGGTAATTCCTTGTTAGGGAAAGGATTCTGATTATACACAGTCAGTCAGAGAATGGAGTAACTTTGGTATTTACAGACTGAGCCTACATATTACAACACATGGCACTTGTGCCAATAGCAGGTGACGAGTGGAGTGTTGAGACGCAGCATTGTAGAAAAGTATCCAACAAAGGAAATAAACTAGCTGCCACTACTTGCATGCACTTGCCCAAAAAAATGGAACACGTGGCAGACACGTGATACTGTTCCAAATCGGGGGCAGCAGGATGTTGCCTGTTATAGGTCTGCTGCTCTATCTGTCTGTCTACGGGAGTTAAGACATGTAAATCTACTTGGCATGCACTACTGCATGCCCAGCAGTAAAAAATGAAGACATGCTGCATTAATTACTCTATGTAAAAAAATCATACCTGGAAATTAGAGAAATCATAAAAAAAACAAAGGCTGAACCTAGGCTGGTCTTCATGCACTGGGGAGTGCCAAGTTTCGCGGACCCGACATCATGCTGCCGGACACGCCTCTGTCAATCCTTGTAATAGGTTCATGGAAACGCTAAGGAGTGAGGCTAATGGCTTGAGGCAGAGATGACTGGGCCAGCGAAAAATCCTAGCCCTGATAAAATTGTCACATCTCTTTGATACCACTGCTGCCAAATTGCCTAGTTGGGTGTCTCTTTTCGGGTAGCGGCAAACTCCACAACACTGCCTTCCATGACACTGGTAGGCCTAGGTCCCATAGGGCTTCGTGTAGCTTGTGGAAAGTTGAAGTGAATTGAGTCGGAGAGACAGAGGTGAAAGGAATATTTGGAGAGCCACAAAATAAAAGCTGCAGGATTGAGCTACCAAAATAAAATTCATGGAAAAATAATGATAAACAAATAAATAAATAAAAGGTGATTCTAAAAAATCATAAGGAAATTCTTCTGGAAAACAAGAAAAACGTATGGTATACCACGATACATGAGGGAATATAACATGATTTGCACACTGATATTCAAAATAATAACATTGCAGTGGTGATTCGCTGCTATAACAACACAGTTACACTAAATCAAGTCATAACAAGATGACAAGGCTTAAACACAATATAA